TAGCTAAGCTGATGACACTATTTCTGTTTTGTTTTATTTATAGCTTTGTGGCTTTAGCTCTTAATTTAATGTGTATATTTTTATACTCTTCAATAAAGTGGTAGAAATGAAGTCTGAAGATAAGCCTTTACATTTTAGAAGTAATGCCACATGTACTTTTTAAAGGCAGGTTAGCTTTATGCATTTAAGTGTTTTCTGTATCTTAGACTCCTTAATGTTTTTTTTTCCGCACGTATGTGTGTGTGTGTTTAATCCCCTCTACTTGACCACCATAAAACTTAGTGTTTTTCTTCTAGATCTTTTGGCACTGGAACAAGATGCTGTCTTTGGCCTGGAATCCCTTCTGGTACTTTGTAGTCAAGATGACAGTCCAGGTGCTCAAGCTACATTAAAGGTGAAAATTTCACTCATTTTAACATAATGTCTGCTTTCATTGCTTAAACTAGGGTTAGCAATCTTTCTGTCAAGGGTCAGATAGTATTTTAAATTTGGCAGGCCATATACTCTTGTCACAGCCACTCAGTTCTGCCATTGAAGGGCAAAAATAGCCATGGACAGTGTTAAGGGTAGGGGGGGATATGTCTGTGTTGCAATAAAAACTTATTTACCAAAAACAGATGGGGGCTAGATTTGGCATACAGACAATAGTTTGTCAACCCTTGGCTTAATTATGCATCTGCCCTTGAAAACTGGCTTTTTTTACTATCCCTAAAGGTAGATAAAGTAGAAATCTGAACTTTGGCCTATTTTGCCATCTGCCGACAGTATTTGTTAAGTTGTAATAGATACATATGATAGTCTTAGACAATATAAAGCAAAATTAAATTGGCAGAGTGCCTATATTCTTAGAAGTGTTAATCTGAAGTAACACTGATAATACCACAAAAAACTGATGAAATGACTATAGCGAAACTCATAAATGTGTGTTTGTTAATTTCTTGAGTTAGAAGCCCTAGTTTATAAGTCAAGAGAAGAATTATTATAAAGAATTTTCACCTTTACTTAATTACAGGAAATTATCTTAGAGATATTTAAGATTTTTAAAATGTGAAATGAGACTACTCTTATTAGAGTGAAAAATCAAATATAATTTGTGATGGTGCAAAATTAATAATAAGGAAAAGCATAGTTAGTAGAAGTAAAAAAAAACCTGTTAGATGTTGGAAAATGTAAGAACTTTAGCTTGTCTGAAATATGATTTAAAGGAAATCATGTCTCATTTTAGCATGTTAAGGAAAGGTGTGGTGTGGTCGTAGTGATGAACAATAAAGATAGTAATACCATTAAATAAAGGCTGGTAATCAAGAAGTGGAGAAGGGAAGTAAACGACATGTGTTGGCAAAACCATTCTGAGGCATCCTTAGAATCCCCTTGGAACTACAATATATTTAAAAATGTTTTTTAAAAAACAAACAAAGCCTTTTCCTGACAACCATAGGTGTTGATACAACACTGGACTCAGCACAGTAGGACGTATTTAGATGATGAAGCAGGGTCCCTGTGTTAGAGGCGCTTCCCATGTAGAGTAGGATACCAACGTGTATATAAGGGACTGTAATGCCAAGCAGAATGCAGTATGTTTCGTTGTTTTGTTTTGTACAAACAAAAGTGCAATTCTAATGAGAGGACAGAGTCGGAAGTGATTAATTTCAGCTAAGGATATTAGGGAAGACTTCAACAAGTAGATGTCATGAGTTGAGCCTTGAAAGACGGGATAGAATTTCAGTAATTAGGAAAGAGTGTTTGAGCCCAAGGTCCCACCTTTATAAAAGCCTTGAAAGCAGAAATGTACTTGTTAAATGTTGGAAGGTTGGTGAGGAACCCACTGTGGCTGGATGACGTAATATGAGACTGGAAAGTAGTTTGCAGCTCAGTCATAGCGGATATACAATATCATGCTAAGGAACATGGACTTGATTCTATGGGTGGTGAGGAGATAACAGAATTTTAAAGTAGTAGACATGCTCTGACCTTTGTTGTAATTATTGTTGTTATTTATTTGAGTGTCTATTATGGGCCAAACTTTGTTGAAGGCATGTATGTACATTTCCTTCCATCTTTCAATAACCAGATAATGAAATTTGTTTCCCTCTTACACTCATCAGAAAATTAAGTCTCAGAGAGAGACAATACCTTATTCAAAGCCACCTCACTAATAAGGGACAGACTGAATTCAACCCTGCATCCATCAGACTCTAAAGTTTATGATGTGTTACTAACACCACGCTGATAGCTACGTGGTTGTAGTGTAAAGGATGGATTGATGGGCCCATCTTTTCAAGATACGGAGTTAAGGGGACATTTGTGAAAAGGAGATAATGGTGGATATTAGAGACTTGACAGAATCTGATGACTACGTAAAAGTAAGGGTATTTCTGAGTTTCTAATTTTGTTGGCTGAGATATTAGTGATGCCCAGAATAAGGACTGAGTAGAGGGTCTAAAGCCAATTGGGAAGTAAGAGAAAATTAGAAGCCATTCCCCCATTTCAGCATATTTTGAGTCACCTAGGGCTACGGTCCCCAACCCCCGGGCCGTGGACTGGTACCACCAGTCCATGGCCTGTTAGGGTCCAGGCTGCACAGCAGGAGGTGCAAGTGAAGCTTCATCTGTATTTACAGCCACTCCCATCACTTGCCATCCTCCCCGCCCCCACCCCCATTCATGGAAAAATTGTCTTCCATGAACCTGGTCCCTGTTGCCAAAAAGTTTGGGGTCCACTGGCCTATGCATCTTTTTAAAACTGTGAACTCTTAGTAACCCCAACACCCTCCCCCAAAAAAAAGTTAATTTATTAAGTTTGGGGTGGGTGGGGCCTGAGAATCTATATTTTCATTACCATGCTGGGAGATGCTGGCATAGATAGTATACAAACCACACTTTAGAAGCAGTTCTTGAAAAATAATAAAAAATACAGTAATGGTGACATTTAGTTTGGCATATATTTGCCTCTTCAGCATTATTCCTTAGGATTTTCATCTTGTCTTTTTTTTTTTTTTTTTTTTTTTGAGACAGAGTCTCACTCTGTTGCCCAGGCTAGAGTGCCATGGCGTCAGCCTAGCTCACAGCAACCTCAAACTTCTGGGCTCCAGGAATCCTCCTGCCTCAGCCTCCCAAGTAGCTGGGACTATAGGCACGCACCACCATGCCCGGCTAATTTTTTCTATATATTTTTAGCTGTCCAATTAATTTCTTTCTATTTTTGATAGAGATGGGGTCTCGCTCTTGCTCAGGCTGGTCTCGAACTCCTGAACTCAAATGATCTGCCCGCCTCAGCTTCCCAGAGTGCTAGAATTACAGGCATGAGCCACCAGGCCTGGCCCCATCTTGTCATTTTTAAGACCTGGATCGAAATGAGTGATTGATGTACAGTTCTGATTTGTTATTTTAAACATGGCGCACTTCACAAACTCTAATGTGCAAGATTCAATACATCAAGTGCTTCTTACAAAGAAAAATGTTATGCCTACAAAAAAAAACACACCCTTGATTTTGCCCAGTAACTTTTACAAAGTTCTTTTATTTAAAGCTTCACTTAATATCTTCAAAGTATAATTAGTCCATTTTGGTTTTGGTGTGCAGATTGCTCTAAATTGCATGGTGAAGTTGGCCAAGGGCAGGCCTCATCTTAGCCAGTCAGTGGTTGAAACCCTGTTGACTCAGATGCACGGTGCTCAGGATGCTGCCCGGATCCTGATGTGCCACTGCCTGGCGGCCATTGCCATGCAGCTGCCAGTGCTAGGCGACGGGATGCTTGGTGACCTCGTGGAGCTCTACAAGGTGATCGGACGATCAGCCACAGACAAGCAACAAGAACTTCTGGTAAAAAGCCACTTTTTAAATCTCCTTTGGATGACTAGGATCTGGTCTAGTGGGAATTACTTTAAAAAGTCAACACCACTGTTTGTACTTAAAAAGCAAAACAAATAGGTTAAAGTAATTATATAAGACCGAGCGCATGCTGAAGTCAAAATAGAATTGGCAATGTGAGCTTTTTAGTGTTTTCACTTTTGATTTAGAAAGTGTTTTGTTCAGACCTAAAACTGCTTTTTAAGTCCTGTCAGATCAGCTTAGTATAGACAAAGCCTTCAATCTGATGTTCTTCATTTATCACGAAGGACAAAATGAAAATTAAGGTTTTTTTCCTCTCTTATACAAAGCAAATAAATAATGAACTTATCCCTATTTGTACTTCAGAAGATGTAAGTTTAAAATCTAATGGTAATAGTAACCATAAATTAGTCCAAATTTCTGTTTTCCATTCTAGGACCTCTTTAGCTATTTAGGATTCAATTTAGACTTTTGTAGACTCTTGGGGTTAGGAAAGGTGGATGCTTAGAAGGAAACAGAAGCAATGGAAGCTATAAAATGTGTAGTTGAATGTTCTCCAAGGCTACAGAGTAGCCTACAGAGTAGGCTACAGTCTAAATAATCATAAATTAAAGAAGGTTATAAGGTTGCCATTCCATATTGTTTCTATTCATCTGAATCTAGAGCTTGGGAAAAAGCATAATGAAATGACTTATACAGTCTGTTTTGTACGGAATCCTCCAGAAGGCTTTGTGTAAAAGATTGACCCATCTCATCAGTTGCTGTCAGAAAAGGGGACCATGATAACCAAATTGCTGTGGTCATGGGAATGACTTCATGCAGTTATCACAATATGTATGCATCTTTGTGTGATTTAGTATTGGGTTTTTGTCTGTCTGTTTTTTCGAGACAGGTTCTAGCTCTGTCGCCTAGGCTAGAGTACGGTGGTGTCATCGTAGCTCACCGCAACCTTAAACTCCTGGCTTGAGATCCTCTTGTCTCAGCCTTCTCAGTAGCTGGAACTACAGGTGTGCACAATGATACCCAGCTAATTTTTCTAGCTAATTTCTCTATTTTTAGTAAAGACAGGGTCTTGTTCTTGCTCAGGCTGGTCTCGAACTCCTGAGCTCAAGCAGTCCTCTCGCCTCAGCCTCCCAGAGTACTAGGATTATAGGTGTGAGCCACCACTCCCAGCCTAGCGTTGGTATATTAAAAGGCAGCCAAGTTTATTTTTTATTGAAGTGACATTTTGAACTAGTGTTTCTTATCCCTTTTTTGTGAGTACTACTTTAATTTTTAATTATGAAACAAAATTCAAAAAAAATCTAAGGAATAATACAATGAAAAGTCTTGCATGCAACACCTTGCTTAAGAAAAAGGTATTGGCCGGGTGCGGTGGCTCACGCCTGTAATCCTAGCTCTCTGGGAGGCCGAGGC